GCGGGACAAGCGACGACGAGGGGAGGCTGGGTAGAACAAGAGTAGGAGTAAGGGAAAAAAAAGAGGAGGAGAGGAAGAAGGGGCAGAGGGAAGAGGAGAAGCAGACGATGAGGATGGATGCATCAGGTCCGCACGTACGCGAGATTTGTGCAGTGTTGGCCCAGTCCAGCCCGGTCAGGCAGCCCAGCCAGCGCCAGCCAGCAGGGCCCAACATGACTGGGACGCACCTCATCACACAGCCGGGCACCTAACAACAGCACCTCAGCCAGCGACGCCCTTAGACGATGAAGAGCTACACAGGGCGCTTCCCCGTCTCACACATGGGCAATGAGCACACTCCCTGGAACAGCGGAGCACACAGCAAAAGAATACCTAAGATTCTAAGGTGTATCCAGGAGGCAGGCAGATAGATCATAGATGGCAGGGCCTCCTACTACCTAGTTACGTATTGATTTGGCAAAACAAATTAGTCGGGAGCTTGGAACACTTACCTGCTAACGCACCATATACCTTGCCCTACCGGCCTCTATGCGACTCCTTGCTTGATCGTTGAATGTACAGCGAAGCTGGTAAGGTAGACGGGGCTGGGCAAAGACCCAACAGCACACCCGATTGCACTGAGCCTTAGGCCCTTGAGGCGATATGTCAAGCAAGGTACCTTGGCCACGTTACCTGGGTTCCATGATTGGCGGTAAAATGAGCAGCAACTGTGGTGATGGAGCCCACGGACAGGAAGGGGGCAGGCAGAGGGCAGGGAATCATCATATGGGATCGCTAAGGTAAAGTATGGCAATAAGCTAAGGTAGGTAAGTTAGGTAGGTAAGGTAAGGGAAGGTGCGGTGCCCGCGGTAGAGAACCTCATCCTTCTATGCCTGTAGTCAAGTCATGGGTGTCCGATTTTTCATGGGCAAACGCGGCGAGATTTAACAGCAACCTACCGTACCTTACCTTGCGTGAACATGGCCAGCAGTGAACCGATCATGTCCTTCCGTTCCCCGACGCCCTTCTACCTTATTCCTCTAAACTGTACGGATACTCCTCGACGGGGCATGGTATCATGCAGCTTATATCAGCGCAATTGATGTTGCGATGCTCCCTCGGCCGGACAGAGTCCGACCGGGTTAATATTTTGACGCGACCGCCAGCTCGACGAGCTCCCATGGACGGATTGTTTGGAACATCGTGAGGCAAAATCTCTCTACGCCGTTGATAGGGGAGCGACACCGGACAGTCAAATGACATCCTGCTGCATGCATATTCACAACCATCCGGCCAAGCCCTTTCCCGAGTTCGAATTCAACATCACAGGAATACAAATTCAACTTGATTTTACCAAACTCAGTCATGCTTTCTCGAACTGCATCATCCCTCGCAATGAACCGAGTCCGTCGAGTCTCTTGAGCCTCGAAGTACCTACGTACAGACCGAAACACCCAGGGTTCGTTCCGCATCGGGCAGGCAAAGTTTAGACAGCACATCAGGTACCGGTCACGCCGCGCCGCTGTACCTGCCATCTAACACCCGCCACTCGGCCGCATTCGGCCTTGCTTGTACTTGGGGGAAGAGAGACCCTGACAAATCGCATGTCCATCTCCTGAGGGTCGAAGGTCGCGGTCTTCGTGGGTAATTACATACTGCACAGTAGTTCCGTACCTTTGCTCTGTCAGACCAGCCCACAAGGTAGGTATCCAAGGTACCTCCAGGTGCGGCTAGCTCCCGCTCACTCCAACACCACCACCCGACCCCTTCACCGTCTTTTGGCACTCTCTTTTCCATGAGCCCGGAACACGCCTCCTCTTTCAGCCTCCAGGAACCTCAGCATCTTCTTTGTTCCTCAAAACGACTCTAATATTCCCCTGCTCATTCTTTTGTCTCTCGTCAGGCCCTCGCAACGTACGGAGCACTCTGCATTTACGCAGTACTACTGTGGTCGTACAGTAGACAGTAGCAGTGGGCGTTTCTAGCGCTGTTCCCTGCCGCCTCCCGTTTCTTGAGCCGTCGGCTCGGGTCAATACTGCCAGGGCGAGCGACCTGAGTGCTCACGGTCACGGTCTTGTTAGGTACTTGTTCGGACATTTCGTGGGGCCCTGCTATTTTCAAGGCGGCAGGCATCAACCTGCACGTCAGTCTTTCTCCATCAAGGTGGTTGGTTGAATGTTAATAGCGACGCAGTTCTGCCACATTGCGTAGCTTTCCAGGCAGTCTGTGCCGGCTGTGATTGCATTGTACGCACATTATCTGCATTGAGAGGGTTGACAGAGGAAAGATCAAGACATGAACACGCCAACGCATTTCAAAACGCCATCGTCGTGTAGAAGGTGGAACGTGGAACATTGATGGAAGGAAAAGAAAGAATAGAAGAAAAAGCAAGGGCAGCCAAGTGGCCTACCCGTTGGCGATGCGAGATTGGGAGCTGAGAAAGCTGCCATCTATGGGCCTAGTGCATGAACGACCGTGTATTGCATGTGTCGTGAGCTCTCGGCTGCTGCTAGGCAGGATACCCTGACAAGCCTGAGCAAGACAAAGAGCTGGGGAGAGTTTATCGAGTCTGTGTGACGACAGGAGAGTAGGAGAGGTGGCAGATGCGACGACCGTTCGCACTACTTGTTGCTGGTCCGGTTTGATGTTGGCAGCTTACACCATTCTTATCTCTGATTGCTTGGACTGATCGAGCACCGCGCTCTCCTATGTTTATCTCACCTTTTGGTAGTCTATCTCGCCGTTCACAGGTGCTCGATAATTGTTGCTGAATCTTCATGATGCCTCCCTCACCTTGGGATTGGGTTGTATCTCGAGGTGCTCGTTTCAGGGACAGCAAAGGGTCCTCATTTACATTCCTGCGTCCATGATCCGTACCTCGGTACATTTCCAAATGTCACTGGTGTTGCTCTGGCATTGGCAGCGTGAGTCTCACATCAGGTCCGCAGGGAAATTTCACAGGCACGTACTCCGTACCTACGGCGACAGATAGGTACTACTGACACTGGTGAACTAGGAGGGAATGTGCCCCACCACTGTCTTCAGCAATCGTCAGCGAACGGCACTTGTCCCAGATCCAACACACAAATTGGTGCGAGATTGCATTCCTTGGAGCGTCGTTTTCGTAAAGGCTGAAGCCCGAGTGTGCCCTGGGTTCGGAAGCGGTGAGGTCATGGTCCGTTAGAGAAGAGATCGCACCGCCAGGGCACAGATGCAGCCATGAGGTGAGTGCCATGTGTCAATTCATTATCAACATCAAATTTTAGTTTTGCAGGCACGGGGCAGGCGTGGCAGGCAGGGCAGGCACCGAAGAGGAGGGAACGCCTTCCCGTTTACCTCCCGCCCGACGAGAACAGAGGGACGGACGGCAGCGAGGGCGGGGTCTTCGCCGCCCTCTCCATGTATTTATTCGTACAGGGAAGGCTCCAGGAAAGAGCCCGCCGCTCGCTGGATCTGTTCTCCGCCCTTCTCCAAATGAATTCGAACCTGCCTGTAGGCACAATACATCAAGTACCTGTTCTCAGGGACCACACAGGGCAGCTGCTGATGTCTCTGCTTTCCTGCACCGACCGGAAATTTTCTGCAAAATTCTGAATCAGAATGTCTTGGGCAACATCGGAAGTGCCTTGGGCAAAGAAGAAGGTAATCAACTATGGATACTCCGTACGGATACCACCTGATTGCTTACCTTACCTTGCACCTCAACTTCTCAAAGTAGTACCTCAGGTACAAGGCCCCCAGCATCGAGTTTTATGCTCCTGATCCTTCCGACCCGTCGGGACCCTCAGTGATTTTCTCCACCTCAGCCGTCTTGGACTCTTGGTCACAGCACACCACGTCCGCCGCCCTCCCTCCCTTCCGTCCCCTTGGCGGAACATGTCCGGAGAACCATCCGCACGAGCTGGACTGCGCCGGGGACAGCGACTTGCAACATCCATTGTCCAATGCCATCGCAATGCAACTGACCGGGCACATAATAACAATCCCATCCATAGGTTACGAAGCACTGATATTAGCAATGGCATTAGTATCAACACAAACCCCACTCACAGACACCAACCTCCATCGCTGTTTTCGCCTCTATGCGGCCACTAACACTTATTCCTTCATAGACAACCTCTGCAGAAACTCAGAGCGCGCCTTGCTAACTAACTGATAGACATTCCGATGGAGTACATGCCTGGCCGCACTCGGCAGACTCAGAGACGCATACAAATGGCGAGCCGTTAGACGCCTTGCTACCGACTTTGGCGTGGCCTGCTGCATGCCGGATCCTTCTTTTTTATCCTTCCGCCTCTGTCCGCCCGCTTGTCCGTTTGCCACGAGCTTCGGTACGGCGTCGGCGGCTGACTAGCCCACTGGGACACTGCAAAATCAGAAATACCAACTCTTTGGCTGACCAGAACTTGCGCTCAACAAGGACCATTTTCTGATTGATTGGCCGAGATATGCGCCAGCCATTCGGAGATGCAATGCCATGCGATGCGAATGGCGCACAAGCTTCTTTTACGGCATGGAGTTTCAATGGCATTGTGGGACACAATAAGGTAGCCCTGGCCATGAATCGGGGGCTGGGACTCTGGTGATTGGCCGTGCGCGCGCCATTTCCCTTGCCGCCTCTGCCATCTCAATTCACCGCAGCGCTTAATTATTTTCAACACGAGATGCAAGCCCGTTCCCTTCTTGCCTTCCCACTTGTCGGCCCTCCACCTTGGCAGTGGGCCTAGATCGGGTCTCGGTGCCACCACCACTGCCAAGGCTCCATTTACACTTCTCCAAATTTCTCAAGCGTCAGAATCCCCACTTTCTTAACGACAGATGCTGCTCTTTTCCCTTGCTCTGTCCTTCTCTCAGCCGAGAGTCTCCTGCGTTCTGATCCAAGGAACGGAAGGGGGGGCCGGTGCAAAAGTAAAGGGAGGCAAGAAAGGTTGCTGCCGTGACCGCGGACGCTGACGGCTCACGGACTCCTCAAGGTTCACCATCCAGGTGCTTCGTGATGCGTCTGGCGCTCGGCTTACTCGATGAAAACACCTTTTGGGTTAGCCAGCGGGCACTTGGAAGACCTCGATCTTCTTTTCTACGACTTGCCAGTGCCAGTGCCAGAGCCAGCGCATCAGATCACTACAATGAGTGGTTGGTTAGGTAGTTGGTTGGTCGGTCGGTCCACACCCAGCGCAGCAAAGCACCAGGACCATCCAGCTCCAGTCGAAAGTGTCTCGCCTTTCTGCCGATCCAACTTGGCCCCCGAGCAGTCGCTGCGGGCAAAGGGGGCTCGCAGCTCGCTGGCTTCCATCCATGGTGGCTTCGCTTCTGCGTCGCCAACGTCGTTGTGTTTCAGATGACATGTCTCATGGTGGACTCACTACCACTGCCGTTGGTTCTTCCCTTGACCAGTGAGGCATCTGTTCACTCGAGTTGAACGGACTCAGGGAGGCCTCGTGAGCTGAGCGAGATCTCGGCCGACTCTGTCAGACTTTCCACACGTGAGCTGCCAACCAGAGCCGACCTATTAGAAAGAAGGTCAAGCAAGAATCGTGAGCTACCCCGACGGGACTGTGCGCCCTGTAGCGTACCAATGTCTGCATACTTGCCTACTATGTATGTATGTACTGTACTTTTCCGAAAGCCAGCCAACCACACAAACCCCCACCACCGAGATCGTGCAAGACGCGGTCAGTGGGACCCTTGTTTTCTGCCTGCCTGGGAGGCTGGCAAGATGGGCCGCTGCCCGCTGGCAAGCCGCAAGCCCATTCTCGGTTCGTGATTACGCGCAGACAGTGGATCCCTGCCCTCCATCCACTCGCCTCGATCTCGCTTCTAGTGTACGGATAGCCTGTCCACACGTGTTGGCGATGTAGTATCAACGTACCCACTTGTCTGCCCGTACACTATCAACGTACACGCACTTTATCCGTATATCTTACGAACAGTAACCCGTAAGTAGCGTGTGATCGCGACCAGTATTGAATGACTTACTGACAGGTTGTAAGTTCCGGTCCGAGTACCCCTATGCTCGGAGAAGGCCAAGAGAATGACGGGGTTGATACGAAGTTGTCACTGTAGCTTTCAAAGCTCAAGATGATTTAATTTGTATACTTCTTTTCCTAGCTATGGTTTTGAGAGTTGTAGAAAAGATACACCTTGAATGTAAGGGCTGGTATTCGCTATTACTTTGGCCACATACGCATGGGGCTTACTGAAGAACAAGCCATGAAAACCTCAAGATTTCTAACCCCGAGAGCCCAGCAAAACTGTTCCCGCTTGCTGATTCGCTTTTAACTTTCTGAGTCCCTGCCGCCTGTATCATGGATGACAAAACGCCTTGCCGCAAATTTCAACCCAACGCCATTCGTCTGCCTTTGCCGACCCGCGCAATAGACCATAAAGGTCGACGGCGAAAAGAATCCCGGGGCAGGATGGGCCATAATTCAAGACCGGCCCAGTCTTTACTCCCCGCTGATCTTAGCATGGCGAAAGTACTTCATTCCCATCCAAGCCACGGAGACCCAAACCCAAGCCATGATACTGGTCAATATAATGAGGGCCGGATAGTAGCCTGTGATGGGCAGCGTCGGATCGTCCTCGAGCTCGGGGGGCGCGTACGGGGTCGTACCGACATCCCACGCCCAACTCCATACCCCAAAGACTGAGCCCATGCCCATAACAAACACCAGCCCCGTCACGATCAAGACGACCCAGCCCCACCATTCTGTATCCGAGTAGTCGATTTCTGTGTCGTTGGGAGGTAACGGAGTGGTCGATAAGCCGCTGTACGAGAGCGGTGACTTGGCCTGCAGTATGGACTGCTGCCTAGGCCGGGTTCCAAAGTAAGATTCGGAGCCCGACGAGAGCGACGAGTCGGGCTGCAGGTGTGACGGCATGTGGTTCGGTATGTGTAAAACGTCGTCTTCGTCCGTTGTAGATGTGTACGATATCGTAGGGCTGGTGATGGTGGACTCGGCCTCGTTTGTTTGCCGAGTATTCGACAGAGAAGAGACTGGAGATTCTACCAGACTCGACCTGCTCGCATATCCCTCCATAGACGGCCGCGGTGTCAGGTCCGCGATATTCAGTCCGAGAGGGTCGTGCTCGATAGTTGTCGCATGTGATCGAGACGCAGCGCCCTCCATATCGCGGGAGACAGTGTGTGACGTGTCGATAGTGAGCTGTTTCGCCTCTTTGCGCTCCCGTTGCGCACCTCTTCCCAAGAGGGCCACCTTCCTAAGGGAACCCTTCCTTCGTCGAGACTTTTGCTGCTGCTGCTGTTGCTGGATGACGGTCGACATGGATGTCGGTGGGAAGCGCGAAGTGTCGTCCTCGGCTTCTTGGTGACGCTGCTGCTGCTTCCCATCGGAATGGGAGCGCATGAAAGGGAGTTTGGAGAGGAAGTTTGCGCCGGAGGAGCTGCGTCGGTGTGGGACCGTTGACGGCGGCTGTTGCTGCTGGTATTGATGCTCCGAGAGTGAGACCGACTTTGGTGACACAGCTCCTACCGTCGATGGGTCGCTGAGCGCAAATGTGCGACACTCGGCGCCATTGTCGCCGCTAGCCGCAATATGATCCATTGCGTTTGGTAAGGTATTCCAAACTGCGATAATCCCTATCGTTCCGGCGGTAGAGTGGACCAAAACCGATAGGGATGGGGTGGGGGAGAGTCTCACGTCAAAGCTTGGGGACTGTGTACGAGTCGGGGCCGCGACATTGACGCCCACTCTACCGGCAAGTTGAAGCAGGGGGTGGGTGAAAAGAGCGAAGATTCAGCTTAGGGAAGTTGGTGGTATTTCTGGATCTGATTGAAACTCTGATAATGCCATGTAGAGCTCAGGCTGGCAATTGGGGTTGACGCGGGTCGAAGATTGAGAGGGCTAACTGCAAAGAGGTAAAGGATGTAGGACCCTGCATTGTGACGTGGGTCGCAAAGTCAATGCCGCTACCGCTGCGGACTCGGGACTTAGCAATACCAGGCGATTCGGCGAAACGGTGCCTATATAGGTAGGTACTTAGGCGCGAATGTATGTAATTATCATACGGATAGAAGTAGCAGGAGGCTGAGTGGCTTAAGGTAGGTACCGGAGTAAAGAGGAAAGTGGGCGGTCGTGTTCCCCTGGCATGTGTCTTCCCTTTAAGCCAGTTATCTGAATAGGAGCATATTCTCCCCTGAACAGATGCATTTAGACCATCTCAGTTTGTGGGGGAAGGTGGTGGAGTGAACCTGGAGACAGATCTCTGTCGTCCCTTCTTTAGCTGGCCCTTTTTTACCCTTTTACCGGGCTAGCAGTGACACCAACTGGAATTCTAACCTTCCCGACCTGGCGACTCATTCTGTTGATGATTGCACGTCACGCACATCTCGTCCCATCTCTTCCTAGTGTGTCTTTTGCCTCGCCTACCCATTTCTGCGACCTTTAGCCCCCCGGAGCAACGCACAATGCATGCCGACGACTGTCGGACACCACTGCAATTGACCCTGTCGCTGTCGCTGTCGGTCCTTGTCCCTTCTTCTCGGCGAGGGACGTCGCTGGGAAGGAAATAGTTCCATGGCTTCCAGCCCTGCAGCAGGCCAATCCTCCGCCCTTCTGCGACCTGCCACCCCACCGATCCCCCAAAGCGGTAACGGCAGAAGTGATAACACCTCGTCAACCCATGTCGTCTATGGTCCTCCGCATCTCGCCTTTCCATCTATAAACATCAACGACGAAGCCTCCGAAGTAGACGAGGAAGTGGATGAGGACGGTCTTCACCCTAGCATCTCCTGCTCCCCCGGCGTAGCATCAACGCCCATAGGTAGCCCTGGACTTCTCGCGCCCGCCAACCTGAAACCTGGGTTGCTTCGTCCAGACTTCCCAACACCAACAGACATGGCCGAAGACGACCCTCCCTCTGCTGGGGGCTCGATCGTCCCGAGCCCCTTCAACTTCCAGACGCAGGTCATCTCGACCTCGCCTGTCAAGTCGGTATGTTCAGATACACATCATCGCAATCATGCTGCACGCCCCTTCCACCTCCTCAACCAGCCAATTGATCGCTAACATCGGCGCCTCGCAGAACATTGGCCAGCGTCGCGGCCATCGATACAAGCACAGTTCCATTTCTACCCAACATCAGATCTTTCAGGAGCCTCCCCAGCGACCGCCGCCTGTTCTACCAGCCTCCCTCCCTGTGCCCACCGTTCGAGAAGCATGGAAGAGTATGTCAAAGGACCAGCGCGTCCGGCTCTACTGGAGCTTGTGCCACTTGGCAGTCGCGACTTGGCTCTTTTTCATTTCCGAGGGCTCCGTTGCCATGATGGCACTCTCCCATCTAGTCTTCTTCGACGCCGGCAGCGCGGCAGTATGCGTAGCTGTCGATGTTCTAGGCAACTTCGAGGTTTGGCGTCGTAGCAGTATTCGTCACCCCTTCGGTCTCGAGAGAGCCGAGGTTCTCGCCGGCTTCGCCATGTCTATTTTCCTACTCTTTGGCGGCTTCGATCTTGTGTCGCACAACCTCAAGCACTGGCTAGAGACCAAAGGTGGACATGAGCCGCACCACGAACATGCTCACGAGCGTGTCTCGGCCGGAGAAGTGGACTGGGCTGCGTTCGCGGCCATCACAAGCACAGTTATTTCAGCGTACGGTCTGAAGAACCACGCACGTATTGCTAGAATCATGCGTGTGTCATGGCTTGCCAAGCTACCTACCCACTTCTCTAACATCTTCCACTTTTTGACGGTCTTCTTCTCGAGTCTACTGCTCTTGTTGCCCCTTCTGTCCATCAAGAGCTATATTTGGGTCGACCGTACGCTCTGCGCCGCCATTGCCGCCTCTATGTTCCTGTTTGGCGCCAAGTTGGCCATGGCTCAGGCTATGATGTTGCTCATGTCGTATGGCGGCATGGGTGGCAACGAAGGTGTGTCTTCAGTGGTGCGGGAGATTGAGGCAGAACCAGGCGTGGCTCGGATCGAGGACGCGCAATTTTGGCAGGTGCACTACGGATTATGTATGGCCAATCTCAAGATCTGTGTCGCCAAAGGTTGTGACGAGGGAGCCATCAGCAAGCTGCGCAGCCGCATATCTACTTTGATCCAAAATCGGCTCGGGGAAGGATACGGACGCGGTACAAGCTTACGGTGGGAGGTGACTTTGCAGACTAGTGTTGAAGCGACCCTCTGATCAAGCGAGGATAGACTGCGATTTGTCCTGTCAGGCCGATGGGCAGACAAAGTTGTTGTACGATTTAGACAAGCGAAACCAAAAGTCAAAGGATTGTCTTGTTTGTTTGACGTTAACACCAAAATGCTGATGATGAATACATGAAGAGCGAGAAAAGTCTATTCTTTCAGGAGACCGGAGTCGAGGAGGGTAT